TTTTTTTTTTTTTTTTTTTTGTACTAGATTTTCAGATATTTATTTTTGATGGTTTTGTATACATTTTTTATGGTTCATTTTTTTTTATCGGTAATGGTGGTTGACTTTTATTATATAGTATTTTGTGTATGTATGTATGAATGGTAGGGGGTAGATTTATAATTTGACGAATGAATTGATATTAAAGATATATTATTTCATGTTCAAAATATTAAATCAAAATTTATAAAAAACCTTTATATTGAAGGATAAGAATAAAAAATTCAGCTAAAATAAACGCGATTGCTGGTAAACAAGTTCGTGAAAAGTCGAGCTTAACAAAAAAAAAATGAAAAATACATAAAACACGGATTTTCAAAATCCGTGTTAATTAAAAAAAAAATAAATAAATAAATTATCTATACACGGATTTTCAAAATCCGTGTTTAGTTTCAAAATCCGTTTTAATCTTACTTAATTAACAATAATCATGTAATTAAGGAAACACGGATTGTGAAAATCCGTGTTTATGTCAAAATAAGTCAAACACGGATTTTCAAAATCCGTGTTCCGCTGAAGACTGGTCAAACGCGGATTTTCAGAATCCGCGCGTTTGATATTTGTCCATACCTTTTTTTTTTTTTTATTTTTGTCGACGGATTTTTTGTTTATTTTATATAAATAAATGATTCACTTTTATGGGTAATGACATTTTTGGGCTTTTGATTTAAAGGGGTTGGGACCTATGAGATTGGGTTAAATGTGAAGCCACAATTTATAGAGGCTGTTAAAGGGATTGTGCATCTCGCAACGTGATTCACGTGCAAAACAACTATTACATTTTCTCAATGTGAAATTGAAAAATTCAGGAGTTATATGCTTAAATCTTAGAGCGTTCATATCGATTAATTAAGAAATAAACCGACTAAAAGTGGAAGTGTACCGGACTTCATAAATTTATTTGCTTGAGAATTTTTGTGTGTTGTTTCAAACGATCTTGTTGGACTTGTATGGTCTTTAAGTGATCGAAACCTTATAGCAGAAGTATACGTATATTTTTCGTATGTTTTTTATATTTTCCTAAAGTCTGAAGGTGGGGTGTTTTTGAAGGAAGAAAACACCTCTTCATAAATTTGCTCGTACGTTACTAGAATATGAATCGTCAAGAACAAAAAATTTCTATTGGTTAAAGTTTATTTTCCGTTGCTAATAAAGAATAGAAACAAAAAAAATCCGTTTCATTATTGGTTAGTGAAAACAAGGATTCTGATGCTTAGAGACGGATTCCGTTCCGTTGCTATCAGTAACGACTTTTGTAACAAGCAAGCCGTTTCTAGTATTAGAGAAATAGCAACAAAATTAGAAACGAGACTATTTGTTACTAATTATTCAGTAACAGAAATCAAATTAGAAACGAGATTATATGTTCCTAATTATTCAGTAAGAGAAACTAAATTAGAAACGAGATTATTTGTTCTTTACTATTCAACAATAGAAACCAAATAAAAAACGGATTGTTTTGTTCTTAATATCTTAATATTAGTGATAATTACAATATAATGGCATATTCCATTTTTTATTGTTGCATTCAGTAAAATTGTTTTGCATCAATTGAATTCATTAATACCACTAAAAATAAGCAAGAAAGATTAAAGAAAAATAAAATAAAATACAATTATTTTATTTCATCAATACAATAATAAAAATTCAATTGATAAAACATCAAAGTACAATTAATACAAACTACTAATCATTTTATATTCTCAAATAAAATTGGAAGTAATATTTTTAACATTTCACCATTATGCCCAATAGAACTCACTGAGCCTTCTCTGTGCCGCAGACATAACCCGTCATACATTGGCAGCTTACCGTAATGTTTCCTGAGTTGCAGATATGAACCCTTCATATGTTGGTAGCTTATTCAAGTTCAGCTGCAATATCGATGCCTTCTCTCTCTCTAGTGTTACATTCTTGTGTCTGTATATAAGAATCAAATTATTCGTCGTATCATATATTGGTGAAAAGAAGAAAAAAAATAAATTTGCACTTACAGACTCTCGCGGATAATTCAAATAAATGTATGAGTGTAATACTCAAAATATAATTGCGTTCAGTAGGTAATAAGATGATTTGAAGTTCAGTAGTTAATAGAAGAGTTTTAGACGTGGTCAGTTATTTGATACAGGATGTTAAGATGATTTGGAGTTCAGTAGTTAATAGAAGAGTTTTAGACGTGGTCAGTTATTTGATATAGGATGTGGTAGTTATTATGCTTGAACTCAACATAACCTATTTATTAATTACAACTCAATATTTATTAATTAACTCCCTATTTATTATTAACTTAACCTATTTATTAGTTACTACTCAATATTTATTAATTAATTACAACTTCCTATTTATTAACCTAACATATTGTGCAACTCAATAATTATTTATTAACTTTACGTTTATAACTTTTTTTTTTTAAAAATAAATTATAAAAGTTAGCCTACCATATTTCAATTTAATTAGTTATCATACTTACAATATTTTATTTTAATATTATTAATATAACTGTAAATTGTATAAGGAAATACAAACCAAAATAAAGATGCTACAACAAAATGAGTATCATATAGATGGTCGACACATAGGATTAAAATATATCTTAGTCCATAGAGAAAAGTTGTAGAAGAAACTAAATCATTAACTAAAAGATCTAGGAAAATCAAATATTCCATAGAGAAAAATTGTAAATGGTCATTAATTAAAAGAGTAATTAATTAAAAGATCTAGGAAAACAAAATATTCCCTAGAGAAAAATTGCAAATGAAATTAAATCTTTAACTAAAAGATGTAGAAAAACTAAATAATTCAAATAAAAAATATATGTACCAAACTAAAAGCCAAAAATGACTAACCAGCCCGACATTTTCTTGAAGCAAAAATATAATTTAAGAAAATATGTAATCAAGAAACATTATTTCAAGACATTTTCATGAAGTGCTACTTATGGCAGTATCAATTATATAATATATGATATATTATTATAATATAGAGTATAATATAATATAGTATAATATTTAAATATATTATTCGGTCGATTATGTTATTTCGGACATTTGATGTTCGAAATCAAAAACCGAACGAAATAACCGAAATTTAATTCGACTACAATCGAAAACCGACCGAGTCGGATTCGGTTCGGTCGGCTTGTTCGGTGTTGGTCGAAATCTGAACACCCCTAGTGACAGCAGTGGTTGGACGATAAGAAATAAGTTGGAGTGAAGAACAAAGAGTTGAACGTGAGTGACCGATGGTTCTACTTGTTTTGCCCTTTTTATTATGTTGTAGTGTTATTTTTGGCCCTTCTTATTATGATAGTTCCTCTCACTTGTTAGGAATATAGAAAACCATTTCAATAGATGGATTAGAAAAGTTCCTTTGGTATACATAAAAAATGAAAAATGCAAAAATATTCTTAATTCTAATAATAAAAGAGCTTCAAAATAATAATAATAATAATAATAGCAACAAAAAAGAGTTTAGGCATGGCGCACCCACATCGTCGTGTCTGTCGAGGAGCGCCGAGAGCTCCTATGTGTCGATTTACCATTACAATGATTTTATTGTCCACCAAGACAAAATCGTAAGCGTTACAGAGTCCGACTAAGCCGAATTTAATGTATCAATTAAACATCTATCTAAAGGAGTATCTACATGAGCCGATAAATCTACTTCTCGAAGTTTTTGTACATGACTTCTCCAACTTTTCGCTAAAAACTGGGGCATTGAGTTTAGCTCATTTAGTCCAATTCATACGAATTTTACTCTAGTTTTTGCGGCTTGTAAAGATAATAAATGAAATATTTATAAATTTATATTAATATTATATAAATTAGAAATAAGATAAAATTTTAAGTGTTTAAATTGAAATTTATGTTTGTTTGTAACATAATGAGTTCGTCACTAATTTCGTTACTAACACAAATACAATTGTTTGAAGTACATTCCGTTTCTGAAAGTATATTCCGTAAATCCTTGTTACTATTGTAACAATTCAAATTCAATTGCAAAATTTGGTTAGTAATAGACCAGTTTCTAGTAGTGATTTAATCGTTTGGGCCGTAACCAAATAAATAAGAATTATTGATTTTCAGTTCGATCCCTCAACAAATAGAAATCACATAATGGTATCTACACTTCTATATCCATAACAATCTGATACTCTCTTTGTTCAAAATCATAAATTTAGTAGATCATTTTAATTGAATTATATTATAACAATTACACACATTTAATTTACATATGTTGTCCAATAAATATTTCTAAAAATTACTACACGACACAATAGTACTTGTAATATTATTTGGGCAAAAAGATAATTTCCAAGTTTTAGCCTTTGCAACCTTTAGAATTTTCTTGGGAAAAATGCCATCTAAATTTAATAATCTAAATTTAATTAATGAGCATTTGTAATTAACAACGTTTCATGTGTCTTGAACATAAAACCACGTGTATATGTTAAAGATGCAATATAGGTAACAAATTATGAGTTTTTACCACGAAATTATACATGGTCAAGATGCTCGAGAGAATGCAAATTATGAATAATTATAAAGTTGAAATTGCATTTTACTAAGAAAAAATAAATACATTGCAAGTGACATGATTAATGTGCAAACTTTCACAGACCGGACTTGATGTAAACCTTTGTGTCCTGACCAGCTCCCTCCAAATCATTCCCTTTCATGATCATCACCTTAAGCTCCTTGGCAAATACTTCCATGGCACTCGCGGGTAAATACACGGGGACCAATACCCCCTTTTCTCCCTCACTATTCTTCCACCAGCTGTAAAAACACACTCCGGGAAACCCCATAATTCCGGGTACCGGATTACCGCCGTATATTGGGTGGCCCCACCCGTAATCCACTTTCTCAAAGCCCAAGCCAGTCAAATCGGAAACTATAAGAGTCCTCACCATTGAGAAAATAGGTCGGCCACTCTTGACCATTCGATCCGCCACTGACCTCACGTACTCCTCGGTCGCCTCCGATTTGGCCCTTCTCACAAGCCCCACCGCATACTCCAGTGGGTTGTCGGATAGATCTCCGGCAGCAGAGACTGCTGCCGGCCAGACCAAGGCGTTGCCATAGTAGCCGTCGGGCAGCGGTGGGTCTAACCTCTTCCGACAGTTCACAATGCAGTCGAGGCGGAACACCTGGCCGCGGTCGGTGGCCAAGGCCGCCGTGCGGCACCGCCAAAGGCAGGCGGTGACGAGTTCGAATGTGGTGCAGCGGAGGTTGAGGTTGGGCTGGAGAAGGGAGCGGAGGGCTGAGATCTCGGCAGGACCGAAGAAGAATGAGCGCTGCACGAGGTTGTCGAGTGGGATGGAATCTCCGTCGGGCAAGGTGTCGTACTCGAGGTGCGCACGGGTGACTCGAGGTGGGTCCCGTGCGGTGAGAAGTTGTCGTTCCCAAACTGGGAGGATGGAGGGGCTCTGGGCCCCGATGGCGTGCTCGCCGATGGCAGACATAAACTGGACGAGACCTTTGCCGTCGGCCATGGTGTGGTTGAAGCGGACGGCGAAGATGAACCCTCCGCATTTGAGCCGAGTGACCTGCCAAAATTTGATGTTGTGGTTTTGAATTGTTTTTTTGTTTTGGTTAATCATATTTAATTTTGAAAAGGGTTATATAATTAATTGTTATTGTGATTTTGAGTTTATATTAAAAACTGATATTTTTTAGTTTCTTTAATTGAAATAATAAGAAAAGGCAAAGTACAACTTGCAAGTACAAACCTGAATTAGCATCAACGGACAACCCGTGACGCCGCTGGAGCCTGGGACATCGTAAAGCAGCTCTTCAAAGCAATGGAACGGCGGCTGAGGGCTGACTACAAACTCCGCTAGTGACACGTCAGCATCAGCCTCAATGAACAAAACTCCCTCGCCAGTGCACTCCACCACCAGTTTCCTGCCGGTGACTTCTCTCAGCCGCCCGGCCAATGGGTAATAGTAAACCAATGCCCTTGAGACAGCTGTCCGAATAATCCTAACTGGGTCTTTTCCTTCCATTGATGGGCTTTTGCGATAGAATTGCATGACAGGAATCTGGACACGGAGACTCTCTTGATCGTCTATGTCTGAGAGAGATTTGAATTCGTGGGGTGTGGGCTTTGCTGGCCGGAGAAGCTCCGGCTTTTTTCGAGTCACTTTGAAAGTCAGAACATTTTCGGGTAACGCCATTATGGCTTTTGATTTGAAGGGGTTGTGGCCTGTGGTGGAAAAGAAGGTATGTAGGGAGGTGTTGTGAGCTTGGGTTAAATGTGAAGCCACAATTTATAGAGGCTGTCAAAGGGATTGTGCATCTCGATCGCCATATGATTCATGGGCAAAACAACTATTACATTTCTTCAAAGGGAAAATATATATAGAGGCGGTCAAGGGATTGTGCATCTCGCCATGTGATTCATGTGCAAAACAACTATTACATTTCTTCAAAGGGAAAATGGAAAAAATCAGGAGGTATATGCTTAATTTTTAAAAACTGCAGGATAAAGGATGAAAGGTGCGAATTTAACGAGTTTGGTTTCCTTTATTTATTATTATTATTATTATTATTATTATTATTTTTGGAACATATTTGTGGTTTTGTCTGCCCTATTGTACGAGATAATAAATGCTACACAGCTTGACAGGCTAAATTTTATTTTTCGTAAACTATGTTGGTTATTTTTTTTAAAAAAAAAAGTCTATCATATAGGGTGTCATAAAAAATGGTCTACTAAATTGCCACTTTTAATTAAAAATCGTACAAAAGCCAACATAATGTATTAAAAATGACAATCACTTTTAGTACACTATCTTGGTTTTTGTACAAATTTTGATTAAAATAACAACTTAGTGGACCATTCTTGATGACGCCTTATATGATGAACTTTTTTCGAAAAATAGCTAACATAGTGGACTATTTTTGAAATTTTGCCCAGCTTAGCATATGACCATATAACGACTAACAAGGTGAGAAACACAAACAAGTTTTTTTGTGTGCCAGCCTGTCAGTTTGGCAGGTGAACCCATACTATGCGAATAAAAAGGAATATTTATATTATCAGATGTTATACTTACGTAAATAATTTTTTAAAATTACGACATTTTAAAATAAAAGTATGTAAATTAATGAAAAAAGTAGTCGCTTAACATAAGACCGATTGGGTTAGAAAATGTTAAAAGTAGACATTAGAGATATTAGAAATTGTTTTGTATGTTTTTGTGGTAATTATTAATTTTTGTATTTTTATTTTGGTGAGTCGAGCTTATTGGCTCGTTTATGTTCTTATCCAATCCATTTTTGTCATTTTATTTGTTTTTTTTTTCATCTTTGCGTTGTGTTTTTTACGTTTTTTATTTGTTGTACTTTTTCATGTTCGTTGGTGAAAAATATATAGGTTGTACATACATTTTCTATTTTCTTGTTCTAATCCTTAATGTTTTTGGTTTTTCTAATATATCCCCACTGTCTACAAAGTATGCGATGAGCAACATTCCAAGTGACATAATGTGCAAATTTCACATGCCAAACTTGATGAAACTTGTTGTCCTGACCAGTCCCCTCCAAATCATTTACCATTCCCTTTCACCATCACCTTAACCTCCTTGCCAAATACTTCCATGGCATTCTCCGGTAAAGAAATCGGGACTAACATCCCCATTTCGCCCTCACTATTCTTCCACGGGGTGTAAAAACACACTCCCAGAAACCTCGTGATTCCCGGTACTGGAATACCGCCGTATACGGGGTGGCCCCACCCGTAATCCACTTTCTCAATGCGCAAGCGAGTCAAATCGGAAACTATAAGAGTCCTCTCCATCGAGAAAAGAGGCCGCCCACTCTTGACCATTCAATCCACCACCGACATCACGTACTCCTCAGTCGCCTCCGATTTTGCCCTCCTCACGAGCTCCATGGCGTAATCCAGTGGGTAATTGTCGGATAAATCTCCGGCAGCAGAGACCGCCGCCGGAAAGACAAAGGCATTGCCGTAGTAGCCATGGGGAAGCGGCGGGTCGAACCTCTTCCGACAGTTCACGATGCAGTTGACCCGGAACACCTGGTGGGTGGCGGTGGCCAAGGCCGCCGTTCAGAACCGCCAAAGGTAGGCGGTGACGAGTTCGAATGTGGTGCAGCGGATGCTGAGGTCGGGCTGGAGAAGGGAGCGGAGGGCTGAGATCTCGGCAGGACCGAAGAAGAATGAGCGTTGGACGAGGTTTTTGAGTGGGATGGGATCTCTGGCGTCGGGCAAGGGGTCGTACTCGAGGTGGACGTGGGTGACGAATTAATGATGCTATGCTGCTTATCACGCTTATCTAATTTCTTCATTCAATTGACACATGATTCAGGATAAACAATTATTTTTTAAACAATAAGTTGATTAAGATACTAAAAAGATTCCAACAAAAAAAAAAATGTGTCCCTGTTCGTTAAAGATTCGGTTTTATAATTAATATTAAAAATATATAGTAATTTCTATTTTATAATTAATATTACAAAGCAAATCGATAAATACAATTGATTATAAACATATTTAAAAAAGAAATAATATTTGGATGCTAACCTAATTCAACTCAAATTCTAATCTTTGTATAAACACAAACTCTAGGGCCTAGTGCTCAGTTGTAAATATATACATATACATATATAATATCCCTTTCTTGGCCAGATGATTATATTTGACCTAAATCACTATAAATAGTACTCATATATGTTTAATCTTTATTAAGAAAATAACAGCCATTTTTTATAGCTCTATGGAGAAAAATTACAATAGCAACGAGCAAAACCAGGCGAAGGATGATGGAGCTTCAAATTTGAGACGAAGGACGCATGAATTGGCTTCAACATCGACACAAAAGTGGCGTTTTCCACCAGGCTACCGTTTCATAACCACCGACCACGAACTCATCGTTGACTACTTAATGAAGAAAGTCAACAATGACCCAATTCCAGTTGATGAGATGAGTGAAGTTGAACTTTACCTCTGGTCTCCTGAGTCCCTCGCTGGTAATTTTTAATTCTTTTTTTCTTTTTTCTTTTTTTCCATTATTAGAGTTTTAGCATTATGTAGTTGTTTGAAGCAATGTAGTAATACTTCCACATTTTTTGTGTTCTTTTTGTGATGCAATTATTAGTTCTTTTGGTAGTAGCTAGAATTTTAATTTTATTTTTAGTTGTTCGTTTGTCATGCTGATGAAATTCACCTGTACTCAGCGAAATTATTTTTGTTGTATTGAACTAGCATGTGAAGAGACAAAACATATATAGATGTTATCAATCAATTGCTAATGAAAAGAATTGATGAACATTAAATTTGGATATGGGGTTTAAGTTAGGTCAATGTTTTGTGTTTAACAAAGTAATTAATTACATCCAAGTCATACAATTATTCAAATTTCAATTTTTATTTCAGTTTTTTATTCTGGGTGATTGAGGGCAAGTTTACATTACTACTTGAAGATATAATGTTTGAACATTGATTGATGTTGTGTGTTTCAAATAATTTATTTGGATTTTTGTTGAAGAGAGATACCCTCAACTTGGGGACAAGGAATGGTACTTCTTCACTCCACGTGACCGTAAGTATCCTAACGGGAGCAGGCCGAGTCGGTCTGTCAAAGAAGGAGGCTATTGAAGGCTACGGGTGCCGACAGACCAATTTTTTCAGGCAGTGGCGAAATAATAGGAAGGAAAAAGGCTCTTGTTTTCTACATAGGAAATCCAAAGCCGAGAGAAGGACAAAAAACCAATTGGATCATGCATGAGTACAAACTCAACACTCCTTCCAAGAGCCCCAATTGTAATGGTATGAGGGTAAGTGCATGCCTACTCTTTTTTGTGCACTCAATATCAGTCACTGTATATATAGGGTTTAATTGCACAATATTGGCAGTATCTTGCACGCGGTGAGAATAATAACCACCATCTTTCGATTGATAATAATATCCAATAACTTTTAATATTTTTGGTTTATTATCAACTCCGACCAAATTCAAAGGCTATTATTACCACAACGTAAAAAGATACTGACTATATTTTGCAATTTATTCGTCGAATTTGGCTAGATTTGGATAGTAATCCCAAAATTTTAAAGGTTATTAAATTCTATTGCCAATTCGTAACACGGTTATGTAGGGTAATTTCTCTTTATGTTAATTAATATGCCTAATCGTCTTAAGGGTGTTTGGTCATTCTATGTTTTGCCTATTTAATTCTTGTAGATTGTTTTTGGAGTGCATTCTTGTGTTTTGACCGCCTCTTCTTATTTTTGTATAATTTTTTTTTGGGTAACATAAATTTAGTATAATTAATTTGAATGATTGGTGCAGTTAGATGATTGGGTCCTATGCCGGATCTACAAAAAGCCGGAAAGGTCGAATAAAAAGCAAAGGGATGTCGATGACGGTGTTCCTGACGATGAGGACTCCAGCATGCTGGAGTCCCCATTGTTAGGCGATAGCAGTGAATTGGAAGACAACAACAAAGGCAATATTGTGATCATGGAAGATGACAACAAAGGCATTGTGGTGATGGAGCAAATGGCCGAACAGAGTCAGATGATCACGAGCAATGATAATGGCATTAGAGATGTGAATGTTTACCACCAAAACCAGTTGTTGTCAGATAACAGTTACCAATTGTCGACTAACAGTTACGGCATGAACTTCCCATACGTAGCCGACCATTTTGGTAATAATATTGAACATTATTATAATCACGGGATGTTGCATAATCATAATCCGTACTTTGAGAGCAGACAACCACCTATATTGGGCTCCTATCACCATAATCCAATGGGATTCGTGTGGCCGCATGAGAGTAGTAGCTATCTTCCACTCCAACATCCGTTGGATATTAGCGACATGGAATTTGTTGATCAATGTTTAAGGACCAACGAGGGTGATGAGGCTCCTAATGATGGAGANTATATAGTCGCTTTGATTTTATGAAACTTTTATATATATATATATGTTTGTGGGAAGATCATTTGAGTTTTTCTTAGCTTTTTGGCATTAAGATTTTACTATGTTTGTTTTTTTGAATGTATTTCTCTATGGGAACGAGGATATATAATACTGTCTGAAAGTGAGGATATGTGCTAGCCTATTACTCAGGAATCGAAAATTATGATTATATAGATCTATGTATATAATATGCTATAGGCCCGAATGATTTTTCCAGCAATAATGATACTGAAAAAATGGAAAAGGAACACCGAGTCGAGACAACTCCACGCAACACACATTTTCGTGTGCACTTAACTTGAATGAAGAGCCAATCCAAGTCAAACTTCAAGTCTCCAACAACTCAATATTTATACAAGTATTTCATGTTCATTGGATATAAAGTTGAATTGTGCTTTATATTTTATCCAACAACCAAGAATCTTAGTTCCATCGCAATCACAGACATGGAATGATTACGTTTTTTTCTTTATTATTATCATTATTATCTATAACTGACAAAATGTGAATGAAATTTTCTATTCAAACTAAGTTTCGAATCAGAATTCTTATCATGAAAATACAGCATTTGGGAAGGATCATGCACGACTCTTACAAGGCCATGGTCGTGCCAATCAAATGCATGAAACGGAGAGAAACTTTAAGGCATTTTGTTCTCAAACTGTGGATAATAAAAGGAAAGAAAACTACTCACTATACTATCGCCTTTAATTTCTTTTTTCAACTCACCATATATATAACTACTAGTAGATGGCTCGTAACTCACCATATATATAACTATTAGTACATGGCCCGTGCATTGCACAAGGTGAAACAATATTACAATTATATTATAAATTAAATATAAGAATAATATTAATTATTAACACCATTCGATTGTAGTAACTCATGCTGCTAATTGTTATAAATTAAATATATAAATAAGATTAATTCAAAATCGGACTAAACCAAAAAGTATGGCCGGATGGATTGGTAATCGGTCTATCGATCGGTCTGCTCCTCTTGAAAAAAACGTTTTTAAGAGAATTGATCAACACCAATCGGTCAGGATGGTATGATTTGCATGATTTTTAAGTATTTTATTTATATTTAAAATTATTTTAATATAAATAAATGCATATTTAAATGAATTGAAAATTATAAATTATTTATAAACTAGTTTAAACATTTAAAAAATTTTAAATTATTAAGATATTTAAATAGTATTTTCTATATCAATTTATTATAAATAATACCATATATATTAATATATCAATAAGTTATATTTGGTCCAACAAATAAATCATTAAATAAATAACTTAATCGATTCGAACGACTATCCAGTTCTGAGAACCTTAAATTTACCAATCACTAATAAAAACTGTAATACAATATCATTTTTTTCTTATAAGTATTTATAAAATGATATACAAATATTCATAAATCATTGAACATGTCGTTATAAATACATTCTTAATTATATGATTATTTAGAGTTTGGAATACATTATATTTAATAAAGTATTTTAGTATAAAGATATATTTAGTTTCACTAATAGATTGTGTGTGATCAAACTGAATCATAACTTGGTCACCTGAAATCAACCTCAGTTGTATAATATTTTTAGACTATTTTATATATGATGTAAAAATATAAGATTTCCTCGTTCCCAGTAGAATGCATAAGATGTGGTTTCACCATATCATTTTTATGTGCTATATGCCTATATCCACTAATTTGAAATATGAGAGTCCAAATAATGTGGTTACTTCCATTAATCCTGTTGACGGGCGTTTCCGGTCAACGGTTAAAAAGGTAAATAATGGAAAAGAAATAAGGAAAAGACAAGGAAATACGGTTTAATTGCAGTTTTATTAAAAGATCACGAGGTCGGCCTCTCGTACGAGGTCGGTACTTGCGATATACTTATATTTCTTACACGAATTTCTTACAAGTTTTAGAGAGAGAAAATATAGAAAGAGCTCCTTACAGTTGAGATTCAACAACCCTAAAATAAATGAAGTGGGTTGCTATTTATAGTAGCTTTTAATGTCGCACTGTTCGGGTACTGTTCAACGATCTTGTCGCACAGTAGCTCAATGGGACAAGCCGGCGCTTCTCTGACTGATTGGGAGTGATTTCCGGATTCTCCAATCATTACCTGCCATACATTTAATGCGAACGTGGGCTGCATTAAATGCGGACACGTTCTGGCTGAGCTGGACGTCCCATCGGCAATCATTCGTAGACAAGTGGCATTATTTTATTGTATTTGAGATCGAGTTTTTATCCGGGGCCGTCCTGATGAAACTTCTGACGGGGTGCCGACCTCATATCTTTACGTATGGGGTGCCGAGTTCGGGGTCTGTTCCTCCCGCCGTTCTGGACGACTTTGACTTTAGATCGGCTCGGCACCCATATGCTACTCTGTTGACCGGCGCCTTTGACCCGGCCGGTCATTGTTCGGTTATCGATATGTCGGACCGGTACTCATATCGGGGCCGGGCTCGGGTATCAACATACAGGCCCCCGAGCTTGGGTGAGGTCCATTGGACCTCTCCTGAGGTCGTCTTTGATCGATCGGATCCGAGCTGGACCCAACAAATCTGTATTAACCTCTCAAATCCGTGTTCGTCCCCTTCTAGGTCGGCATCCCCACCGCACTTGAATCGTGGGGGCGCAGATGTTGGCAGTATGGAACGTGGGGCGTAACGGTCGAAGAGCGTGGACGTGTGTTAACTGCATTCACACTGTGGGGGGACACATGGCGGATTAAGGGCCAAGCATTTCGAACGGACGTAACGGTTGACAAAAGGGGGTGACGGTTATCTTGTTCAACACTTCAGTTACTTAAGGAACCGTTTCGAATTTCGAATTTCAAAGGGCCCGACCACGTGTCCACTTCCGATTGGTTTGGGAATCTTATATATATCTCTTTTTCAGAATTTCTTTTCACTTTTCCCAAGAACTTCTGAAACTTCTCTCTTTTCGGATCTGTCGAGCTTTGCGATTTCCGAGCACATCCCAAGAATTTTCCGGCGACGATTTCCGGCCATCCTTCGGTAATTCCTACCTTCCTCTCTTATTTTTCTTTCCTTGCCTTTTTTGATTGGGATGTCTTCTTCTCCGAGATCTGCGGGCGACGGCGGCGACTTCGCCGGTGAGGGTGGCGATTCCTTCCGGCAGGCGGACGTTATTCTTACCGCCGTCCCTATTTCTGTGATTCGACCGGATCCTTCGGCGGTCGAAATCGCCTCCGGTGGCGGAGGTGCCGAAGCCAACCCTCCTTTGTCACCGCTGCGCGAAGGGAACGATGCCGACCTTGACCCTTTGGCGGCAGCTGACGACGACGATGTCGACCTCGATTTTCTGGACACCGACTCCGATGTCGATCCAGATCTGGTTGATGAGACCCTTCAAGGGGAAACCGGCGGTCGGGAGCGTGTCCCCATGGGGGACGCGTCGTTCGACGCCGCTCTCGAGGAGGTGACCACCGTTCCTCCGGGGTTCTGGCGCCGACCTGAACGGATCCGGGCAACACCAAGTCAGGCGACGGCCTGGAACACGGCGTCGATCCTGGATGACGCCGATCTAGCTCAGCTGAGGGGAAAGTTCAACTTCGGCCCTGGTGTTCGGCTGTTCGCACCCTACCCCGGAGAGAGGATTCATTGCCCGCCGCCGGGCTGTATAGGGGTCTACCGTCACAGCATCCACTTAGGCCTTCGGTTTCCCCTGCCCAGTGCTCTCAACGATATTTTGAGCGGACTTGAGGTCGGCATCAGTCAATATGTGCCGACAGTGTTTGCGCGCCTGATGAGTTTGATCGTCATGTACCGTCGTGAGGGTTGGGCCGACCCCACCGACGACGAGGTGAGGTCCTTGTTCGCTTTCAAGCGCGCCGGTGAGACCGGCAACTACTACAGCTCGGTGCTGCCCGGCATCGACAAGACGTTGGTGGCCAAGTTGCCCGAGACCCTGCATGGCTACATGCCGCACTGGTTTTGGGTCGGCGGCGAGTGGAGGACCCCGGACGCTACTCGGCACCCACCCACTCATTTCATTTCTCATACTCGTAAGTTTTTGATTTCTCATTCGTCACCAACTGATTTGCTCTCCTTTGTGCTAACAGGTCATACTTTGCGTTTTCAGTCCATACTCACAACTCGGCTCTCAGTCCACGTTTGGCTGAACGGCTTAGCACTCTGCTGGCGCGGGACGTGGAGGATCGACGCTACTCGAACTTAGTTAAAGAAGAAGTCCTTCTCGATCACAACCTCAGCGCCGAGCTCGTCAATAAATCTTTCGAACCAGGTGGCTCCTTGATCCGGTTCGGTACTTTGTTGATCATTTTAGTCTTTGATGCCTGCCCGGTACCAACCGCGCCCTTTACTTTTTTTGCAGTTTACTACCCTCTTCTCAGGTTCAAAGGATTCGATTCTGTGAAGGCTGCCAACAAACACCGCCGAAAGCACCCGAACCCACTCAAGACAAGAACGAAAGCTGCCATGTCTGGTCGTCTGAACCTTGCCAAGAAGAGGGCGGCGCTTAACAAGGAGCAGGCCCCGAAGGCTGCCGACGTGCCGACCCCTACGGAGCCGAGCACCGTCCCTGCTGTCCCCCAGGCCCCTCGCGCTCCGGCGCCGGAACCACGCATGACAAGGCGACGGGCTCGCGAGGCACCGGGCACGACCGGCGGCGAGGCCCCGGGTGCGGGCGGCGAGGGCCCGGCTGCGGCGAAGAAGAAGAAGGGCGCCGAGGCCGAAAGCTCGGGTCTCGCCCAGGAGAAGGACGCGCACATCCATCAGGAGGGGGCGAGCACCTTCGTCCCTATTGATGCCGAGCGGAGGGCTCGTTTCGCTAAGTCCCTGCCCGGCTTCCCGGATGACTGGTTCTTGGACCTCCGCGCGGCCGAGGGGGTGGTCGTTCCCAACCAGTTCGGGGTTCCAGAGGAGATGATCAGGGCTGCTCGGCTTCCGTTGGTCGCTTGGACCCCGACTGCTCAGGCCGCCGCCACCCAGCTCTCCACCCCGTCGCTCATTCACCACGCGGCGGGGACGATCTCCCGCGCCTTGGTCGAGCTCGTCCAGGCCGCCGATCGGTCCCAGAGGGCCCTGGCCGACCACCGCAAACTGGAGGCCGACCACGAGCTCTGCCAGGGGAAGATTGCCTCCCTGAAGACAAAGGCAAAGCGGGCCTCCGAGCTGGAGAACC